GGCAAGGTGGTCTCCAGCACGTCCCCCGCTGGGCCTGTGAGGGGCACACGCCTCAGACACAGGTGAGAGGATCTACTGTGGATCTGGAAGGATCTACTGTGGATCTGCTACTGTAGACCCTTCCAGGACAGGCTGGCAAGAGCAGCTGTTGGAGTGAATCATGGGTATAAATATTCGTTATGTCTCACAGATGTACAGCAGATGTACAGCAGACAAAGATATAGCTGGAGCTACAGACACTGACTTCAGAAAACACAACTGTCCTTCCCAGAAGTACAAGAGTTTCTCAGCAATGTGTGCATCTGGGGCTCCCTGGGGTGCAAAGCTCCTATTTCTCCCTTTTGCACAAAACCCTGGACACAAGGGGCAGAAAGGAGGGGCAGCTCTCTGCACTCCAGCTGGGTGACCACATCGCCTGGGATGCTGTATTTCCTGTACACGCTCTGACTCTTAACTTCATCCACAGAGATATTTCCTAAAGGGGCTCCCTGACACCCCCAAGTGTGGTCTGTGCCCTCCAGGCTTTTATATCTGGTGAATTAGGGTGTTTGGATTTTGGGGGTCAGTCTCTTTTCTCTGTGTCCGGTGTCCTCCATCGTCTCTCCTGCTGAGTGAGGGTATCTGTGTTGCAGACGCAGACTGCACTAACTGGCATTCCTGTTGATACAGGGATGCACTCGACTCAGACGGCCTCTGCACATCCTTCCCCAGAAGAAATGGGGAGAGGGCGGGGGGGTGGGGGAGAGGAGGAGAGTGTCAGTGCAGTTCACTTCCAGTTGAGAGGGTGATGCAGCCTGTCTCTGGTGGGTCTGTCACCTCCTTCACAGGAGCGAGAGGCTGGGACACAGAGACAGAAGGAGAGAGCGGAGCAGATGAAGGAGGAAGATGAAAGAGGTTTCACATGCAGTATGGAAGTATCTATTTCTGCTTTCTACGTGAATGGAGAACTAGAGATACAGAGTAAGACATTGGAAGACAAGGGGGACAAAGGCTAGAAAGAAGAGGGACAATTCACAAATACACTGAGACACTCCCCAGTGCTGAGAGACACTGAGAGACACTCCACAGTGCTGAGAGACACTGACACTGAGACACTCCCCAGTGCTGAGAGACACTGAGAGACACTGAGACACTCC